TATATATATATATATATATATATATATATATATATATATAAATTGAGTTAAAATTTACCAGTATTTACACTAGTAGTGTCAAAGCACATTCCCACTATATTGTCAGTAACATTCCACTCATTTAACGCTTCAAAAATAACTTTAGCTTCATTAGCTCCAGTATATTCATCTAAAGGAGGTACACCGAGTAATTGTTCCACATCCATCTCGGAAACAACAATAGGAAGTCTTTCGACTTTTTTCATTGGCTGATTTGAAAGTTCCGGAAGTAACTTACGGTCCCAGTGTACGATAAAATTTTGTGCAGTTTCCTGTATTCCTTCTTTCAAATTCCCAGCAACTGTTTTTCTGAATTTTGATCGAGCATTGCGAATAGTCGTGTAACTGATATTATAATTGTCAATATCTAATCCAAGACTAGTAATGACAGCAGAAATAATATGCATTGCACTTCGATTACTGGTTTTAGTGTGATCCAGTACTGCTACTAGAACTTCAGTCATAACATCAACCTTACGTTTCCTTTTAGCCTGTGGAAACTCATCTTCGTAATCTAACAAAGGTTGTTTTTCAGATTGATTTGATGATTGGCTACTTCTTTCATTAGACATTGAGAACTGCGATAATTTTTGACTCAGATTTACAAAAAGATTAATGCATATTAATTATAAAATAGAAGATTACGATCTCTTAAGAAATAATTATTTTATGAAATAATCGTTCCATAAGTCTTTTCAATTGTAATAGTGAGTAAAGATAATTTTGAAAATAATAATCTGTTAAAAAAGAGATGTATTGATACGCTACTATTGTAATGAACAAAAATAAAATTTTAACTTTTTTCAATATTCTAAGGATACGACGACAGAATTTACTAAGAATCACGAAAATGAATGCCAAAAAGTGTGAAATTTAACATGACAATAGGATTAATTCATTATTATGAATGCAGAAATTACAAGTCAACCATCAGTGGGAATAGAATTCTATAGTTACTAAATTCAATGTTGTTATTTTTATCTTGTATTTCATCCTGTATATCTTGTAAAACTGATTGATCAGAAAGTACTATTGTATTTTCGTTTAACTTAGATATTAATGGTAAACATTTATTGTTATCATTTTGTCGACATTCTTCTAAAAATAATTGTAAATTACTCGGAAGATTCTCAACTTCACTATTATTTTCCACTTTGTGTTTTTGATTGTCTGAGAGATTTTTAAGAGATTTTCGTTTCTTAATGTCTTTGTAATCGTCATAAAACTTTTCAAATTTTCGAATACTATTTCGTTTCAGTGTCGTAGGAATTCTAATTTTATCCCACATAGCCTCTGGTTCATCAATAGCTTCGGTAGCACTGGTACGTATTGTCAAATTTAACGTCAAATGCTTATACATAAATAAATTAATAACGTCACGATAAGTAAGTAATTTATAAGAATTATATTCTTTAATTTGAAAGCCAACTAAATAGTTATATGTCCTATTACCAATTACTTTAGTCATAATGAACAATAGTTAGATTAGAAAGTTAATGAAATATAATCAAATAAATACTGAAGATTATCATGAAATAATTTAAATACGATTTATACCATTAAACACAAGTGACAGCGAAAAATTGCTATTAAAATAGTAAATTGAATATAGTTTATTAAAAAATTGGCTTATTTTGTCTTAGTATCAGCGTCAATTGATTCTCGGATTAATCACTTAATACAACGAACAATGAGAAAATTATTTTGAGGTTAGGTATGCCATAAAGGGTCAAATTTTTCAACAAAGACAATAGAGATGGTAATATCATGCTAATTAATTAGAGCAATGATAGAATATGCCATCTTGGGACTGCTTGCTGCAGTTTTTTAAGGAATGATTTCTACTTATACAAAGTTGGCGTGAATAAAGTTGACAATGGGAAAAATTAAATTTTTTACTAATTTAGGAATTTTGCTACAAAAAATTAAATAATCTTCATTTTTATTTTTTTCGTAAACGACAAAAATATTGAAAAATTGTAAGATCTATGTTATAATTTTATTCTTGTAGTTTTTTTAATTAGTTTTTGTGTTGTTTTAATATTTATTATGGGTGAGAAATCATAATAGTTTAAAAAAAATTTGTAGTGTAGGGAAATATAATGGCGATAAATAGAAAAAATTAATCTACATAACATTATGAGTTAGTATTTATTAATTTCTTACGTTTCCCGCTATAAAAATGGCTGTAAATTTATTAAATATTGGTTGGATGACTTTTTTTTTTTATGAGTCAGTCCTTTTTTTCTTCTTACCATTGGTGATTTGCTCGAAAAATTGAAAGAAATTATATTTTTTTCAAAAATTGTACTTTGACGACTCCTACCGGTGAACCAGTGCGAGTTACACAAAAAAACTTTAAGGCTTTCTTGAAGAGCGTGAAATTCCCCACAAGGTTCATCAAACCGATTTGCAATATTGTAAAAGCCGGCTAAGCATTAGAAATTTGAAAAAAAAAAAATTTTTTTACATGCATTCTAAATGGTAAAACTTTAAATTTCTATTGTAAGTACTTAAAATTAATATTAAGAGCTCAAACTTGGTAGGAATTTTCTTTTCTATATGTAAATTAATATTTTTCATGAGCACCGAAAAAAAAAACAAATTTTGCGGAAATGAATCACCCTAGTGCTCACGTATTTTGCTTCCACATTTCTTTTAACGTCCTATTGACCTTTCAGCATACCCACTAAGAATCCAGATGATGTTTTGCACGTATCGAGGAATAGCAGTAATGCTTTTTAGGTCGACATTGTTTGCAAATACATTTTAAGTACATAATTTATTTTAGAAAATTAAAAAAATCTATAGGTCTTACAATGGCAAATCGACCAAACATTGAAATCGACCTCTTTCAATTTAGACAAAATTCGGTGAAGAGTTTTCATTTATTCTAAAATGGAAATTTGCCATCAAAAAAAAATTAAAAAATTTTTTTTCGAGTTATTCAAATTTCAAAATTTTAGTATATATCCAGCATTTCAACTTTATATTCTTTAAATATCTCGATAACTATTATAGATACAGAAATTAACTTTTGTTGATTTTAATAAAAACATTTGTAGCTATAAAGAAATAATTTTGGAAAAAAAACATGAAAAATGAAAAGTTTATAGATTTTTAATTTTCTATAATCAACTTTTGACATTAAATTCCGGGCTCAAACTTCTTAATATAATACCCTCAAATAATCTTAAGAGACCCTACAATTTTCAGAAAAGCGTTTTTTTCTACGTTGATATTATGAATCGTACAATTTTGACAAAAAAAAATTATTTTGTTTTGTTTCTAGAAATTTTCTATCAAATATTTACGGGAAGTCAAGACCAGACGCCTGCAAAAAGGATAACCCTAAATATTAATGTTTAAAAGTCGCTCATCGCAGATTTCTATTTCTATTTTAAAGAAAAAGAATAAATTTTCATTTCAACGTTCTACATTCCAAAAAGGTGTTATGAGAAATAAGACTGTTGGAAAAAAAAAAGGCCAATTTTCGTTTTCAAGCACACTTTTAGGATATGCAATCAAAAAAAATTTTAAAACTGTACTTCTATAAGATTTTCAAATTTTGACTTTGAAATGGTGATTTCCAAAAAACACGTAGCAATCGATTTTTTTGAAAATTTTTCCTGAAAAACTGTCACTTATCCCCAACTTTTTAAGCCCTTAAGGAGATATCGTGATAAATCACTTTTCTTACAATATACTTCAATTTTTGAATACGCGTACTTTTAAGTGTCCTCTATACGAATAAATTGTTTTTATCAGTCTTTGCGGTGCTAATTTTCGAAATATTAGCAATTAAAAATCGTACATCTAACATGTATTCCCTATCCTGACCGTAGTTAGAGTGAACATTTTATTAAATAACAACCATACTTTCCTTAGGATTTTTTTGAAAAACTGAAAATATTTAATTGAAGTTGTAACAAGTATTTTCTTTTATAATAGTATTTTCTTATATAATACCTTTAAATAAAGTCTCATCCCCAAGATCCCCGTCTGATACCCGACCAGTGGCAAATTTGTCATATCTTGCTAAAGTATTTGAAAAGATTATAGCCAATCAAATAACATCATACTTGGAGGAAAATGAACTTCTGGATCCTTTCCAATCTGGATTTCGTAAACATCACAGCACCCAATCAGCATTATTAAGACTTACTGATGATATTAGGGAAGCAATGGATTCAAATAAACTGACTTTATTAGTCTTATTTGATTTGAGCAAAGCATTTGACTATGTTGATCACAAGACTGTATTGGCTGCTCTTTTTGAACTTGGATTCTCAATGAAAACGATCACTTGGTTTTACTCATACTTATCTGGTCGATCTCAGTCAATACTAAATGAGTTTGGGATTCCAGTTCAAATACTTACAACATCATCTGGAGTTCCTCAATGAATTCAGTCATGAATTCAGTAGTGAAGTGGCTAATGTATTGTAAGCATGGGTTATTTGCTGATGACAAGTATATATATCGGCATTTTTTCAGTTATCTGATGCATGAGGCTGTAAGGCAAGTGAATATTGATGCTCAATCAATTGCAAACTGGGCAAGAGCCCATGGATTAGAGATCAATTCGATGAAAACAAAGGCTATGATACTGGGTTCAAACAGCAAATTGAAAAAATTGTTGGAAAATGATATTCCGCCAGTCATAATAGATGGTGTTGTTTTACCTTATGTTGATTCTGCGAAAAGCTTAGGAGTTCAACTAAGTAGAAATCTATCTTGGAATGCTCATGTCTCAGAAACTGTTCGGAAAATAAATTCAGCCTTACATTTTCTTAAAGTGCGAAAAAACATTCTTTCAATTGAGCTTAGAAAATTGCTGGTCTCAGCAACGATTCTACCGCTTGTTGACTATTGCTCTGTTGTTCTTGTTGATGCGTCAGCTGAAAATGATTTGAAATTGCAACGTGCCATAAATAGCTCGTTGAGATTTATTTTTAATCTTAGACGAGATGAACATATAACACCGTATAGCAAAAAATTGGGCTGGTTATCTACCAAATATAGAAGAATGTATTTTTTAAGCTGTCTGTTCTATAAGTTACTGGATGCTAATAGACCAAGTTATCTGAGAGATGTATTTGGTGAACTAACAGATGTCAGGCGCTCAGATAGACTTGCGACAGGGAAGCATACCTCTTTTGAACTTCCTCGATTTACAACTATTTATATGGAGTGCTCATTCATAGTAACTGTGTTACGACTATGGGAAGAACTACTCAGTGATATTGTAAATTCCAGTAGTTTGAAGTTATTTAAAAACAAAATATTTGACTATCTACTAAATTTGGATCAGTGATAACGATCTCTTGCATAGATATTTTTAATCTATCTATCTAAAAATTGTAGTTATATTTCTTGATAAAATAATTCATTGTGAAAAGAATTCTGAAAATAATGTTAGAACTATAGTAAAGCAAAAAAGATTGGTTGAATCAAGATATACATTTATCAAAGTTTAATTGACGTAAAAATTTTTATATTACTGTTATACTTTATTATTACTTATTATGTACTTACAATTTATGAAATTTATATAATTGTATTTAAAATTTATATAATTTGTATTTAAAGTTTGCCATTTGGCTTGTGCCTTGGCATTAAATAAAAATTAATCTAATCTAATCTAATCTATATCAGACTTGATATCTTGATATGGCCTGATATAACCTTATAAAGTTATATATACTTTGATAAACTTGAAAAAAAATCCCTGATCAGGGTTGATATGACTTGATATGGATTCTTACAGTCTAATATACTTATACCCTTATCAGTACATAAGTAGTCTGATATACTCAAATAAAGGCATACCCGAGTAAAAAAAACTCTATAGAATTATGTATGATTCATATATAATTAATATAATTATATAGAGTAGGGTGGCGCAAAAAAACCGACTATTTTTAACTTCCCGCTAAGAAAATCGAAGATTTTTAAAAATCGGGAAGTTATTATTTTCACCCCGTTTTGCAAAAATCGAGTTTTCATCAGATCTCGACGTTTGAAGGTCACAGGAAGCTTCCCTGACTACCCCCGCGATGCTGTCACTATGTCTGTGTGTGTGTGTGTTTTTTTTCCCCTTAGGAGGGGGTTCCTTTTTACGGATTCTAGGCATAGCTGTTTGGCCTGGATATGTGGCGACTCGACGCAGTGTCATACTAAAACTCGACGCTGGCACCCCTACCCACTAAACCCTAAACCCCTTTCTCTTCTATCCTCTGATCCCCCATGGTACCACCGTAAGGCATTTCTTCGCGGGGGGAGAAATTAGCTGCCGCTCTTCCTTCTGGTGGCTAAGATGTTATTTCTTCCTTCTAGTTTCTGTCATTCGCTCTTTTCCTCTCAATGGATCGCAACTCGGTAAGCACTTTTGTAGCAAAAGTGCTTGTGGCGTTCCAGGCAGCTTCTGATGACAGCATTGTTGCTACTATTATCTCTGGTTAGATTTTCCTCTTCAGGATATTCTCCAGGTCATCCCGATGTGGGTAAAAACGTGAACACTCAAAGAAAACGTGCTCTGCATCTTCATTGACTCCTGGGCAGGATGGGCACTCTGGAGAATTATCATGCTTGGAGCGGTGGAGATACGCCCGGAAACAGCCGTGTCCTGATAACATCTGTGTAAGATAATAGTTGACCTCACCGTGACTCCGGTTTATCCAAACGTTGATCCTTGTTATGAGACGATGCGTCCACCTACCCTTCACTGTGGCATCCCACTGTAGTTGCCATCGACTTATGCTCCTCTGCCGCTCTTCTGTTCCAAGCTCCTCAGCGCTTAGTGTGGTCGACTTCTTTCGTTGGTAAAGGATCCGTCTTTCCTTAGCTAAGATTCCGAGAGGCAAAGTTTCGGAAATGACACACACTGCTTCCATAGATATCGTGCGGAAGGCGCTTGCTACTCTTAAGGCACTCAGACGGTAGACTGGTCCAGCCCTTCTCCATGATTCTTGCTTTTCTAGTGCGTCTGCCCAGATAGATATTCCGTAAGTGAGCACTGATGTGACTACAGATGATAGCAGTAGTCTCTTGCTCTGCTTTGGGCCTCCGACGTTTGGCATCAGTCGTGCTAAGCTGGCTACCACTGCTGATGCTTTTGCACTCACGTGTTCGACTTGCTGCTTAAAGTTGAGTCAGGCATCAAGCATCAGTCCCAGATATCAGATATATGTTGTGATGTGATTTCTTGTTCTCCGACTTTCAGTTTTATGGTCTCTGTCACTTTTCTGCTGGTAATAAGCACAACCTCAGTCTTCTGTTTAGCCAGTTGTAGATTCATTGAATCCAGCCACCGGTTAACTTTCTCAAAGGTGATACCGAACATGTGGTTTATCTCATCTAGGTGTTTCGCAACGATTACGACAGCTACATCGTCTGCATATGCAACAAGCTTGACACTCCTTGGAAGAGTGAGTCTCAGCAGGCCATCATACATAACATTCCACAGAAGTGGACCCAGAACAGAACCCTGGGGTACACCTCCGGTAATATCGTACTCTTTTGGACCATTTTTCGTGTCGTATCTCAGGATTCTGTCCGTGAAGTAGCTAGCCACTACCCTACGCAGGTATCCTGGTACGTTTTTCTCTTCCAAGGCTTGCATAATGCAGTCCCAGTTGGCGGAGTTGAAAGCATTTTTAATGTCCAGAGTGGCCAAAAGGCAGTACTTCTTCGCTCCACCCTTCCATCTGATCTCTTCGATTGCCTCCTTGGCCGTTGCAACAACCAGGTTGATTGCGTCCAGGGTTGATCGTCCTTTCTGAAAACCATACTGGTTGTCTGCCAGGAGTGGATCGACCACTGCTTCTATTCTTTGGTGGATTATACGCTCAAGCATCTTACCTGCCGTGTCTAACATACAAAGTGGTCGGTAAGATGACGGTTCTTCTGGTGGCTTCTTCCCTTTAGGTAACAGTACCAATCGTTGCTGTTTCCACTTACGAGGAAAAGTCTCCTCCTTGAGGCATGCATTATAAGCGTCTAAGAATAATGTTGGAGCTGCCTTTATGATGGTTTTTAAGGCTAAATTAGGGATTCCGTCCAATCCCGGCGCTTTATTATTCCCTACACGGTTACAAGCCTCCAGCAATTCTTCTTCAGTGACAGGTGGGATGTCGTCTAATTCGCCTGGCGCCAAGTGGTAATCGAAGTTGCGTTGCTGTGGAAACAGTGCAATGACGATTTTCTGAAGAAGTTGAGGAGACGTAGGTGATGGCATTTGTTGTTTTTTCAGGTGGGTCATAACCACCTTATAAGGCCTACCCCACACGTCTTTATCCACCTCGTATATGAGCTCTTTCCAGCATCTTCTTTTGCTTTCTTTGATGGCTTTATTCAGTTCACGGCGCGCCTTTTTGTATTCTGCAACCAGTTCCACAGAGTTAGTTCGTCGGTAGCCACGCTGAGATATTCTTCTCTTTTGATGACACTCTTTACGAAGGGCGCTGATGTGGTCGTTCCACCAGTGAACGGAAGGTCTTGTGTTCATGCCACGTCTACGAGACATACTGGCGTCGCACGCTTGGGTCACTCTTCTCATCAGATCCTTGGTCTTCTCTTCTGCGCAACCCGCGATAATCTGGTCACTATTGAGAGCTACTAGCAATGTACTTGGGTCTAGAGTTTTTACCTTCCAACCAATGGTGTTAAGTTGCTCTTTAGGTCTTCTCGGGCTCTGGGCGTTTAATATTTCCCAAAGAATC